TAATAATGGATATTACTTATACTTATATATTGCAGCAATTGTGGTGAATCCAAGATTTGCCCAACATTTTAATTTGTTGAGATGCAACAAGTATAAAATGAGTCCTGGATTTGGAGTCAGAAAACTTGGGTTGAGTCACAATGTTCATTAGTAGGTACTTTACATTTCTGTAGCAGTAGCAGTAGCGGTAGTACTAGTAATGTAAGCTAAATGTTTGTAAAATGGTATGAATCGTTTGGGATTTTTTCAGGATAGATGACCATGAAGCTTTTTATGGTTAAAATACCACTCTCTATTCTGTGACAGTAGTATTTATGTAACTCTCAAAGCCTGACTTTCACTATTAGGATTTGTTAATTTTGCCAATATTACTTTTACTATTTTTCTCCCCTAGAATAACAACAATCTTGAAGCCTGTTGCCGAGCCCTTTCCCAGGAGAGTAGCAAATACTTATATATGGAATACCATAGTCCAGATGACAATAGGATGAATAGAAATCGCCTTTTGCATATTAACCTGGGTATCCATTCTCCTAGTAGCTACCACCCAGGAGATGGAGCTCAGCTTAATGGTGGTCGAACACTAGTCCACAGCTCAAGTGATGGACATATTGATCCACAGCATACAGCAGGTAAACAGCTGATATGTTTAGTTCAGGAACCACACTCAGCTCCAGCTGTTGTGGCTGCTACTCCCAACTACAATCCATTTTTTATGAATGAACAGAACAGAAGTGCAGCTACTCCTCCCTCACAGCCACCTCAACAGCCATCTTCCATGCAAACAGGAATGAATCCATCTGCTATGCAAGGGCCTTCACCACCGCCGCCGCCACCTCCTTCATACATGCACATACCTCGGTATAGTACAAATCCAATTACTGTTACAGTATCCCAGAACCTCCCTTCTGGACAGACTGTACCAAGAGCTTTACAGATTCTTCCACAAATTCCAAGCAATCTCTATGGGTCTCCTGGTTCTATTTATATTAGACAGACATCTCAGAGTTCATCAGGAAGACAGACTCCTCAGAATACGCCATGGCAGTCCTCACCACAGGGCCCAGTGCCTCATTACAGCCAACGTCCTTTACCTGTTTATCCACACCAACAGAACTATCAGCCTTCTCAGTATTCTCCCAAACAGCAGCAGATCCCTCAGTCTGCATACCATTCACCACCTCCTTCTCAATGTCCTTCACCCTTCAGCTCTCCACAGCATCAAGTGCAACCTTCCCAGCTGGGCCACATCTTTATGCCACCTAGTCCTTCAACTACTCCACCCCATCCATATCAACAAGGACCTCCTAGCTATCAGAAACAGGGAAGCCATTCAGTAGCTTATCTCCCGTACACAGCATCAAGCTTACCCAAAGGTTCCATGAAGAAGATAGAAATTACAGTTGAACCTTCTCAAAGACCCGGGACAGCAATTACTAGGAGTCCTTCACCCATCAGTAATCAACCGTCTCCACGGAATCAGCACTCACTGTACACAGCCACCACACCACCTTCAAGTTCTCCTTCAAGAGGGATATCTAGTCAACCCAAACCTCCATTTAGCGTTAATCCTGTGTATATTACATATACACAGCCAACTGGACCTTCGTGCGCTCCATCACCATCTCCTCGGGTGATACCAAACCCAGCTACAGTTTTTAAAATTACTGTAGGCCGAGCAACGACTGAGAATCTTTTAAATTTAGTGGACCAAGAAGAGCGCTCTGCGGCACCAGAACCTATTCAGCCCATTTCAGTGATACCAGGCTCTGGGGGAGAAAAGGGAAGCCATAAATATCAAAGGAGTTCTAGTTCTGGATCAGATGACTATGCCTATACGCAAGGTAAATTTTAACCGTTTTATGAAGTTTAATCTGTGTGGTGAGGTGGCAATCTCCTTTTCAAAATAAAATATATCAGCTGTTTAGTTTTAATTAAATGTTTTAGTATTTATTAAATGTTGAACAGTGGCACTGCTATTAAGAATAAGGCTTCAGAATCACCTACAGACTTTGTTTTAA